AACTCATGACCTTGCGCTTGCCAGGCAGGCGCTTTGCCGATAAGCTAAACCCCCAGCCCCTCGGAGATTTGTCTATAACCTGAGTACTAGGTCCAGAACATAAAACTGGGTTTTGAGAGCTGTTGTCATCAGAGTATCTATAAAGTTGCCCGTGGAGTATAATAAAGCTCACTATATATACATTTTCTTGATACACTAAATATCCCCCACCTCCCAAGATGACAGGATGCGGGAGTGGAGGTGGGGAGGATAGGCACACTGGAAGCAGGACGAATGACACTGATGCCAGCTTAGATTCGACAGAAAGTGAACTGCGAAGGAGTTTGTGCAGCTGCAATAGTACACTGCTGCTGGAAAGCCTTAAACTTCCTCCACAGTAGCTTCCTTTTAATTAGAGAAGAAGCCTCAGGCCACTGAACACTGATAGGGAGAAGGTGGAGGGTGTTACGGAGCCTAGCACAAAGCTCAGGAGATGAGCGAGAAGTTGGTTTTTTTCCTTTTCTTTTTAAATTAACAGATAATATACAGGATAGCTAACACAGTTGTACTGCTGACTTCTATCGTTTCATTGAAAGGAACAGTTAATGGTTAATTATTTGATCAATCTTGCATGTCTCTATTTGTTTTCCTGAGTAGCTACTTTGAAGTTATCAATATGTAATACAACAACCGTTGTTAATTTCCTGTCACCTTGTCTGTAATTCAGTATTGCTTGTATTGTTCCTGTGCTGTTTTGTAAATGGATGTTTGTTTGTTAATACGTTTTTGTTCTTTTATTTTTAAAATAAAAAGAAATAAATGAATTAACAGATAAAAATTGTATACATTTATGGGGAAACTTGCTGTTGCTGTATATTATATGGTTTGATGTTCAAATCAGAGTAAGCACATCTATCTGCTCACACGTTTGTCATTTTTGGCAGTGAAAGCATTCAACCTCTTTTCTTCTCTTTTGAACTGTACAGTATGTTTTCTTTACCTACAGTCAGCCTACTGTGCCACAGCACTCCAGTACTATGGGACCAAAATTTAATATCAATGTCTCCTCTCTCCCCATTGCTCTCCCTGGGCCTCTTCCCACCTCACACCATCTATGAAATCAATGTGTTAAATGCTATATGTGAGTCAGACCTTGTGGTATTTGTGCTTTTGTGCCTGGCTTATTTTGAACATAATGTCTTGCAGTTCCACCCATATTGTAGCAAATGACAAAATTTCATCCCTTTTCATACTTGAATAGTATTTTTTTGTAGTTTTTAAAAAATACATGCTTACCTATGGTTCGTGGTCAGAGTTTAAAGAACTAATAGTTTGTGTTGATAAACATAACAACTAGATTTAGAGTGCTTAAAATTATAGCTGTAGAACAAGGTCAAACAAAGAAAAACAAAAAGCAAATTATATGTATTTGTTCACAGTTTTTTTTTTAGTGTAAAGCATTCAATTAAGCCTCAGATTCAAATCTACAGTATTTAACAGCTAGGATTTTAGATCCTCATAGAATTTCCTAAGGCAGATCTTTAATCCTGCTTCCCTGACCCACCAGGAGGGAGCTTGCTTCTCTGCAGGCAAACCTGTGCTCTTGCTTGCAGGGATAAGCTATGATAGCCACAGTGGTTACCCTTTTCTCCGCCTCCTCAAGTGTTACTGAGGTCAGAATGAGAAGTTCGAGAATGTTCCCAGCCAATGGCCATTGTGCAGTCCTGGCCAAGAAAATTGCTTTTCTGAGGGAGAAAAAAGAAGTGAGGGGGGGATCAGCACTAGGCTGGAGGAAAGGTACCATTTCCCAGTTTTCACAGTGTAATAAATCCAGTACTATCCAAAACTCTGAAGGGAGTGGTCACAAAGGAAGGCAGTCAAGGAGAACTAGTTGGTAGTAGTAAAGAATTCTTTCAGAACATCTGGGGTAGTCATAGAAATTTGAGTTTAAAAAATGGCATGAGAATTTTAGGAGGAAATCTTAGTGTTGAAGATGAATGTTGCTGAAGAGATTTGATGAGAAATGAAAAAGAGGAAAAGAAGATAAATAAAACCAGACTTTGGGCACAAAACTATTTCATATGATCCACCTCTTTTCTTCCACATTCATGTTTGAAAGCACACAGATAGTCAGCTCTTGAGTGCTATCATATTTTCTTCTAATTAGAAATACCTTGCATCTAAAATACAAGTTTGAGTGGGCATGGAGATTGAATTGATTTTTGCAAGGATTGTTAAAATAATAATGTTGAGAACTACTTTGGCTGTGCTGACATAATTTAGAGCAAGACAGCAACTTCACTGTAAGGTCTCTGGATACTAACTTGATCCCTGAAGCCTTCGGTTTGATGTTAGACTATTTAATAAAGACCCTTTAATGTAAAGATTCAGCAGACTACCTATCACCAAATCAGCCCAATAACTGTCACAGCTGCTACATCATTCCAATCTCCAGTAATATTGCAAGTTTTGATGGTGTGGGGATATGTAGGACCTCAGGCACTTAGCTATTTTTATTTATGAAGGGCTGTCCTTTATTAAAATAACAAAGAACCTCAAAGCAGGAATATTCTATTGCCATGCTATGTTGCATTTTACCTCCTACAGGTAAACCTGCCAATTTCCTTCCATATCTACCTCTGACAATTCTAATTCAAACCACCACCATATTTCACTTGAATTTTGCAATAACCTCCTAATTGGTCTCCAAGCATCTAGCCTTACTCCTTCAGTCTGCTTTGTACAATGTAGGTAAAGCAATGCTTTCAACAGGCAAATATAATTATGTCACTTCCTATTTGCAAACCTTTCAATGACTCCCCATTGCTCATTGGAAAAAGACTCCAAATCTTAATAGACCAATTGGCCCTCTCCAGTCTGGGCATCTCTTTTTATTTCCGTGTCATCATACATAGTGATTGTCCACCTTCTTTAAGATCCATAACCTTCTTGATTGTTGGAATAAAACATAGTTTCTCTAGCCACGAGGCCTTTGGGTATTTTGCGATCTCTGCTTGAAATACTTCCTGTCTTTTTGCCTTACTAACTCCTACCCACACTCCACATTTAACCTCCTCAGAGAATCCCTGTCCCTTCAACTAGAACAAAATTCCCCGTATTTGCTCCTTCAGCAACCTGTACCTCTCTTTCATGACACTTAACACCACTGTCATTTTACATTTTCTCCGGTGATTCTTTAAGTCCTGGGTTTTCATCTAGACCCAACTTCTATTGTATGTCATGTATTCAGCACAGAAACTGGCTTACAGTAGGCTCTTGGTGAATACCAGGATTATGTGGATAAAAGATACAAATGGATAGGTATAATTTCTTCCTATGCATAGATTAGCTAGCTAGAATCTACTTCCTGGCTTGTGTTGAGTGAACTAATGTCTTCTGAATTGCTGAATTTTATTTTATTTATTTATTTATTTATTTATTTATTTATTTATTTATTTTGGTTTTTTTTCCAGTACCGGGCATTGAACTCACGACCTTGTGCTTGCCAGCAGGTGCTGTGCCGCTGAGCTAAATCCCCCGCCCCTGAATTGCTGAATTTTAAAATGGTGGGATTTTCTAATTTGGTGGGCTTCCATTTCTAAATACTCTCTGTAGAAACCTTTCTTCACCCACCCTTCCATCTCCATGCATACATATGTGGTTCCACCATGTTACATTTTCACAGTGGGTAGTACTTGGTCAGTCTTACTGGAAAAGAAACTTCTTTCCAGACACTTAGCCCATACTTAAGAAATACGACACATGAATTTGTGGGCTCATTGTTTACTTTTGAGAGAGATGGAAGGAAATACTTCTCGATGGGGTGAATTTGTCAGTGAGTTTAAAACTCTTTGAAATTTGAGGCTGAAATCTACTATTCATACCTATGATCTTGGGGAAAATATCAGTAATTCCTTTTGCGGCAAACAATACCTTACCGTTTTAATCGTGTATTATTTTAAGAGAGCAGTATGTACATTGCTGAAGTGGTATATTTGAACTTTGGTAAAAAATTATGTCTACTACAAAAATGTGTTATGTGAATGTGTTACATGAATGTGCACTGGATGTAATAAATAATTTCTGGTAAATTGCGGCAGGAAGTGCACTGAAAAGCATACTCATGTGGGTCACAGCTGATATTTTTTCATGTCACTTCAACAGTGTGGGAGTAATTGGCTCCTCTGTATCCCCTGTTAGCTTCTCACAGCAGCATGGTGTGCAAGGAAGTACAGACAGTTTGTGCTGAAAAATGGGGAATATCAACATGGAAGCCCGCTGAGAAGATGAAAAATACTCACTTATCATTCAGTAAACAAATACCAGAAAGCAGAAACTCCGTTATAATTTCATCTCATTGTCTTTGCTATGGTCCACCTGACAATTCAGTCAAAACAGTAGGGTCTGGATACCTCAGTGTGGGATTCCAAATATTCAATTCACCAATAAAGGTATTCCCGGAATGAATATTATTATTTCCCTACAATACAACATATCTGAAATTGAGAACTAAGATAATAAAACAAGCTCAAATGCATTCCTTGTTTACAACAAGAGGTTCTGATCTGGAGCATGGGACAGGATATTTGAGTTGAAAAGGCACAGTAAGCATGGATGAGCGATACCCAAGATACTCACAGAAACAAAGAACAGGTCAGGTTTCACGTGGCACTTCTCTTTATTATGACTTCCTGGTCCAAAGAAGGCTCACATACTTGAAAATGTGAAAGCGAGAAAAAGTTCCTATGAGGCTGTGGGGCAACTTACCACATCCCTGGATTCTCCTTCTTTAGGGGTAAGGACGACCGAGAGCAAAATGATTCCGAGGTCGTGGTCAGGATAATGAGGATCTTTCAGAGTTAGGGTCACATCTGTGGGCCTGTGATATAAAGTAGTTCAATTTTCAGTCACTGAATATGTAAAACAACAAATACTCTTAGTTAAAATTTACAGCTATAAGAAGCAAAGCAATTTTTGCCCACCTTTACTTTCTCAGTATTATTATTTTTGTTATCAAAATATCAATGTCTTAGATACCCAGTAAACTGTGAACCAGTTGAATAAACTTGAATTCACTGGAGCAATTGCTATCCTTCCTGGGGTTCTAGAAAGTTACTGAAAAGACCAGGAACCACAACATTATTGGAAAATCAATGGATCCTATTTCTATGATCTCTAAATCCACAGAGACGCATACCAGTATTTTATATACATCTGAGCCCAGTAACTAGACAAGGGTCATTCACTGAACAGTACTATCCTTTCAGTTTTCTCTGAGCTTTTTAAAGCAAGAATAGTTGAAAAGTAAATAGGTATATGGGAAAACAGGAAAACATAATTTTATCTACTTTATAGACATAATTTTAAAACAATATATAATTATTTAAAAGACTATCTGATACTTAAAATCAGATGTTTCTGGCTCTTTCAAAATATGCCTAAATAATTTTTAGGAGTGAAAGATGAGGCAATGAATACTTAAAGTTGGGTAATATAGCCTTTGGAATTAGATAAGCATTTCTGAGGAAGTTATTATGAAGACTTCAGTGTTGCACAATCACTTTTGGAAAATAAGTGAAAATACAGATTCAACTGACAGTGCACAGGTGTTATAACTAATCGTTTGGTAGTGATAACTTGCTCCTTTTATTTTAGCAAATAAATTTTAAGCATTATATATGTGTACAGTATATATACATGTAGGTTACAATTTTACTTGACTTATTTTCTTGTAATGAGTACATACACAAATTAATAGGAACAATTTATTATAATAGTTATATGATACATTTAAGAACATTTACAGCTGTTTGATGATGCTTATCTACTATTTTCTGTCAGAGAGATACTTAATGCTTTATATAGCAGTATAAGTATTTATATGGCAACTATTATGATCCATTTTTTATACCCAGAAACTACTGATTTATACCAAGAATGAAATGGCTTTAAAAAGTGGTAATGTGATATATACATGGCTTTAAGGGGAGGGAGTGGAATGATAAATACATAAAATAAGTACTGTGATAAAATGTACACCAAATGCTTATAATGTATTTAATGTTTTAATGATATTTTACTTTCCATTTAAAATTATTCTTCACTATGATTTATCTTTAACGGGTCATAAGAGAAGTTTATGCTTTGGAATTAAGTCTAGTAATTTGCATATCCTTATGCAGAGATCTACAGAGAAAGTAATTGCAGCCTTCCTAAAAGAACAGCGCAGCGCACTCTAGTTTGAGCTCAGTGTTTGTGACGGTGGACACATACACCATCCTGTAGGATACACCTTGTAAAATGGGTTGTCATTAGTCACCTAAATTCTAGCCAAAGATCAAGCTAGTGCTAGGATTTATGGAGGATGTGTAAAAAGTGCAAGAAAGGCTGCTCCTTTGTTCAGTCAAGGCAACGCTAGAAGTCCAATAAGCTGCCCCTCTACTACAATGTATAACACACAATGAACATTTCTCTACATATTTACATTTATGGAAAAGGAAAGCATTGTTCTGGAGCATAAGTCTGCTTTCTTGTTTTCCCCTATCCCTATCACGTGATGTGGCATGATCGTCCCAAACGGGAATTCCTTCCCCTTAGAATCATCAAAGAAGCTCTCTTTACCACCCACTTCAGCACCACTTGATTTTTAAAACCACTTTTTCCTTACACAGTATGGTCACTTCTTCATGTTTATGTTGAAGTGAATTTTGAAAAATATATACCCATTGAATGCCATGAATGATTTATACTAGTAATAACAATATAGCTTTGCAACTAGTCAAGCAATGTAAAATAATATGAGTAGACATAGCCAATCTACCTTGACATTAGAAGCATTTCTTAATAATCGAGTGAAGGCAAACTGGTGCTGCTAAGTAATGCTGGCAAAATCAGGCTGTTCCTTGGCTCAAGGGATATGGGAGTTGGTGTGTTTGGAAGCAAGGTATGCATGCTTTATTTCAGATGTACCAGCCTAATATTCTTAAATTAATATTTATTCTTAAATTAATATTTATCTTAAATTAATAATATTCTTAAATTAACATTTATGATTATTGAATTAATAATTTCTTAAATTAAATTAATATTCTTAAATTAATATTCTTAAATTAATATTCTTAAATTAATAATTATGATTCATATGCCTAATGATTAATATGCCCCACTGCAACCATCTGAACATGTGGGATTGGACAATACATCTCTTATCTACAGATTCCTAGTACTTAGCATGGTTCTGGGAGACAGAGCCATGTCTGAGAATCTTTCTGTTGAATAGGTGTTACTGAATGAGAGGGGTGGGGATGATGCTGTTATTCTCATCAGATAGAGGAGAAAGATGCACTTGGGAAAGGGTGACTAGCCTGAAGGCTCACAACTGTAAATGACACAGCAGTCACTACTGTAGAGGCCAGAGGGTTGACATGGTCTATCTCACAGGCCAAGCTGCACAAGGTATAGCAGTATTGCACCACTTGAAAGTCACCTGTTTAACTCCAACTGTGTGAGATCCAGGAAGGCTGAGCCCATAAAATCATCCTGTAGTCCAAAATCATAGTCAAACACCTGAGGAACAGAGACAAGACATTGTTATAAATAACGAGGCTTAAGTGAAAATGTCTTGATTATGAAATATTGATGGTATTTATCACGAAAAACCAAACTTTCTGATATTTATTTTTAATGTGCTTGCTTTTATACATTGAAATATTAGGAAAATATTCATAACACAGTCAAAGAAAGTTCTATTTCATTTTTATCTTCATATTATTGGTTTATATCAAATATAACATTTAAAAAGGTGTAACAAAATCAAACAAAATATGTTAAATCTTTAAATAGTGAAAAACATAGGCTTAGAATATTTTCCCCTATTATAGGAAAGATATTGCCACTACGTTAGAAGGCAAAGTAAGATAATATCAAATTAAATAAATGTGTTTTCCACATTAGGCAATAGATGATGAGACTGTAATAATTTCTTCATATGTTTTAGGTCATTGAAAATAAATTCTGTGATATTATAGGTTAATGTCATTTTAAACACACTAATAAGTAAAAATTATAATATTTTGGTTAAGGTATTTTGTAAAGTTATATTAAGGTTAAACTCAGTTAAGGTTTTAGTTGTCATAAGCAATTACTAAGGCTAATTCTAATGTGACTGACAATAACAAAAGTAAAAATTAAGTAAGAAGAAAGAATGCATTTCTTTCTCCTTTCAATGTTATTTAGTATCTTATCTTTGCCTTGCATGGTTGCTAATCATATTTGGTAAGTGTAATGGTTGATACATTGTGTCAACTTGAGCAGTTCTATATCCTAGGGTGTAGAGGACATGCCCTAGGGGGGATATTTATGCTCTAGGATGTTGTAATGGCTGATTCAGTGGTCAACTTGAGAAGTTTAGAAGTTTAACTAAGTGACTCAGCAGGGAGCCAGGGTCCTCACTTTGTAAACATCTGAGCCTGTGCAAGATGAGAGCACGGAGATGGTGTGCGTGCCACACCTGCCCTAGGGTGGGTAGCCTGCTTACAATATAAGGAAGGAAAAGAGGCTTGCACCCCTGCTTTTTGTTTTTGTTGCTTTTCCTTCTTCCACTGGCATGAACTGATGCCCCTGTGTCATGCCACCATGCCTTGGAGCTAGCTGACTATGGACTGAAACTTCCACAAGCTATGAGCTAAATAAATCTTTCCCTCTTTAACTTTGGGTGTTGAGTATTTCATCTCTGCAACGCTGCAACGAGAGAAAAGTAACTAAAACAGTAAGACAGGCAAAGTCCCTGACTTCTTAGATGCTACATTTAGGAACTGAAACAGCCAATAAACACTTAAATCAATATAAAAAGTTTAGTGAGAAGAGCTATGGGGACAAATAAAAGTCTAAGGGGTATGCTGAGAGGTGCTATTTTAGATAGGGAATCCCCAGGGGCTTCTCTGCGGAGGTGTATTTGTGTACAGACCTAAATGATGGGAAAGATAAGACCATGCTGATATGAGGAGGATCACTCCAGCTGGAGGCAGCAGCAAATACAGAACAGAGGTTGATGTGCTAAACGATCAATAAGAAACCAGTAGTGTTGGAAGAAATTGGGAGAATTGGAGAGTAAAAGGAGGTTGGAGGGATAGCTCAAGAGTAGGTCATTTAGGGCTATTTGTAAAGGACTCCATGTGAACAAAAGCTAGCTGACTTCCCCCCTCTTATTAATTTTCTTACTCATACTTTTCCCTGTCCGATACTAAACACTTGTGATGTGCCAGGCAATATGCTGGGCACTGAGTCAGCAGAGGCAAGCAAAGGTACCATTTTTGATGCTTACCATTTAGTGAGGGGACAGGGGCTAAACAGGGAAGCAAACAGCTGATATATGTACGAGGCAAATCTTGGTAAGTATTTTAAGGAAAAAAACAGAACACAAAACAAAAGATAATAAATGAGACCCGGGAGAGCATTCAAGAAAAAATAAAACTACGAGATGTAGTTTAGAACTATGTTTCCAAATAGAAAATATTTGTATTCAGTACTGAAATAAATGAGCATAAATGGATAAGTCACTCCTGAGTGGGAGACCCATTCCGCTGAACCTTCCAGCATGTGACAATCATGAATCTCAGAAAATCAATCGCTCACCATGCCTGCATCCATTTCTTGGCATAACAGTTAGCCCAATACTGTGGAATCAATAGTTACAACAGGCTTGAATCAGTTATTGCTTTTTCCTCTAGTACAGGTGTATTTCTATTAAAAAAACTGAATATGCAAAAATTGATTTTAAACCAAAAGATAAACACTTTGCACTACAAAAGGATTCTTAGATTTGAAGAGTCACAAGGAAATTGATTTATGTAATAAGCTTCCCTGATGGCTTTTATATCATTCAATTTGCTGTCATTTGATTTACATACAGCCTTTCAGGAGTACATTTATCGTGGAAAGTTCAGCATTTGTGCAATAAATATTCTCCTTGATCAATTACACTTCTGAGCTTTAGTCATCTGTTCAGAGGCATGTCACATGCATACACTGCACATCTTAGACAACTGACATTTCAATACTTGCAGGTGGCTAAAGCAGTATGTTTTACAACAAAATTTATACAAGATGTTAGATAAATTTCTTATGCAATTTCTTCTAATCATATCACCCTTGGACTTGAAATCTTGGAGAAAAAATAGGTGGCATATAATCACTGAGGACACCTGGAGTATATCCACATATAGGAATCCAATGAGTTGATTAGCCTGGACAGCACAACGAAGTGATTCAGTATTCAAACTCTCTTTATTCTCATGGTGAGAGTCTTCCTACAGTCCTAATCCTGGGGTTTCACTTTAGCTTTTTATTCCTATACAACAGTGAAGTCATACACATGAGAAAAAATGGAAACACCAGAATATTTATTCATGAAATCATTAGCTATACTACTTGGGTCTAAGATCTACACAGCATTTGTCAGAGAGAGCACTATTATTAAAGGTGGATCGTCGGAAACATAGAGCATAGATGAGAAATAGAAAGGAAAAGATATTCCCATTGCAATACAAGCAAATCAATGTTTACTAATGTTTATTCAGTAGTTCCTCTAAATTGGGCATTGTTTTAAAAACATTAGTAGATTTTGTAATTTAATTCTTTCACAAGGTATTGTTTCTATTTTTCAGGTAAAAATATTTAAAGCTGAGAAAGTTTACGTTATTTACTCTCAAGATCTAGGGATAGGAAGAGGCACAATTTAAATCTGGTATTCAATTTCAGACAAAAGAGTGCTTAAATTTATCAAATATAGCTTGGCATCCACTCTAAGAGAGACACTGGCAATTCAGCCATGACTGATTTACACAAAATCCTTGCTTTCCTAGAACCTGCACTCTGGGAGCTGGAAACATTAAGTGGAAGTTGCTTTAGCCTGGTAATACCACTTTATATGTTCAAGTAAATTTAAAACAACATACATTTTATTCATTTATTCTAAACAATGAATTCATCATTACTCAATATTTATCAAGAAAAATTGCTTTGGGAGTGCATCAGTGAAAATCCTCTTGGATATAAGTCATCGAGACCTCAACTCATTACCCTCAACATAAATGGAAATTTATTAACTCACATGCCCAAATGTCTGCAGGTAATTATAGTTTTAGGGTAATTTTGATTTGGCAGTTCAAATAATTCATGCATTTGTTCATTTATTTAAAACATACAGAATGAGCATGTGTAATCAGTCAGATACTGCTTTAGGAACTTGAAACATAGCAGTTAACTTTCTTGGGGCTTACATGGAGGTTAAGGTGAGGAATGCTACAGAAAATAAATATGTATGTCAAGTAGTAACAGGTGCAAAGGAAGAAAAACATCTCAGGGTAGAGGAGTGATGTAAACTGCTCTGACATGTTTAGGAAGGGCAATAAGGGAGAGGGGCTTTGAGTGAAAAGTGGAGCCTCCTTGGGGAAAGTGTGTTCAAAATGAGGGAACGGGAAAATGTATCCCAGGAGGAGGGAACAGAAAGTGGGAAGGCACTGAGGAAACTATTCAGAGGCCATGTGGCTGGAAAGCAGTGAGCTGGAGGAGAGTTCTGGTATATAGTTCAAGATTAGCACAATGTATGACTTTGGGTTTTCTTCTGAGTATGGTGGAAGACACTGGAAGATGTTATGCATGCAAGTGATCTAATGAGATGTATATCTCAAAACGTTCGCGCAGAAGTTACTTGCTGAATTACATTTTGTATTGAAAGAAATACTGTAAGCAGATAGACCGGTAGTCCTGGCAAGAATTAATGTCTTTAGACTCAATGTTAAGATGATGAGACATGGTAAAATTTAGGATATACTTTGATAGTAGAGCTGAAAGAACATACCGATAGGTTAGAAGCCAAATGTGAGACAAATATAGGAACTGAGGACATGCAGAAAATAGTTAAGATGGCAGCCCTGAGCCTGATCTTGACCCTTGGCTGGTGGCTAGCACCCCCACATTTGAAGCATTCCCACTGAGAAGGCCATTTAATTCATCTGCTGCACTGAATTTATGGAAGTGTAGAATTTTGATAGACATGATGGTCATTACGCTCAAGTGGCCAGTAGTAACTGAAACACGTGGACTCTGTCTCAGTTGGGCATTCTTGGGCAGAAATACAGCACATGTGTTGCTGCATTTCTCTGCTGAAGAGGCAGCATGTGCTGTGTGTTCTTTCCTGGTGGGAAACTACCTGATGGAACTTCTTCTACTATATACTGGATTGGTGTAATCAACTTTAAATTATGTGCAAGCACAACTGCCTGAGAGACCTGTGAGTTCTTCTCATGTGAATAATTGTATGTGTAGGTTGTACTAAGACTCCCAACCTAAACAATGTCTCTTTTGTCCTGAAAAATTGGTGAATTGCTGTTGCACCTCCTGAGAGGAGAAATGTGAGGAAAAACAGCTTTTGGTGGGACAGAAAATTAAGAGTTACCATGAATTTGATAGCGGGTTTGATGGGTTTGGTATATGTCTATTAGATATCTAAATGGAAAACAAGCAGGGCTGAGAAATAAACATTTTGAAATCATCAGGGAATCAGT